CCTAACAATAATCTCCTTGGTAAACATTCTTCTTCTGCCCTATCACATGAGGGCTGGATTAGGCAAGTAATAGTCATGGGACATGCATATATATATATATATATATATATATATATATATATAGATAGATTTGTAAAATGTAAAAATAGCACTGGTCTATTACAGGTGTACAGGTGTGGCAGCTGAGCTGATTAATTTATTTATGTGAAATATATCTTTCTTCCTTTGCAGGTCATTGGGTATAGCAGACGTGACTGTAAAAGCATCATTTATCCCAGATAAAATAATTCTCACAAACAAAAATAGTGAGATTACTGTAAAAATCTGCTTTGTGTCAACATTCAGACCAGCTAATTTGAGGAGTCAAACAAGTGAGTACAATAATAATAACTATAATGATAAATGTCATCATCTACTATAGTATGTCTACAGTAAACATGAATCTAAGGGGCCTAGTTACAACGGCCAGTATTGTTAATTTACTGTTTCTAATTTAACATAAATTCTAATTGTTTCATGTTTTCATGCTTCCAAACTTTTCTCATTGCGACTCATCTGCCACAATGACCCAACACACTCCTTAGTACAGGGAGTGCTACCTCTATCAAGCGCACACTAGATACACAGAAAACAGCACTTCTTGTTGCCCTACAATTTTCATGTAGATATTTAAGCATTAATGCAAACATTAAAATGGTTGTAAACTTCAGACATGAAATATGAACAAAGCATATTCCTCTATAGTGTGTACGTGTCTCAATCCAGAGCGCTGAGTGTCATTTCTGTTTGCTGCCTTTTTCCTCTACTATCTGCACAGTCACTTCTGACAAGTTTTCTTGACACCAAGAGAAAAATGATGACAGGGGAGTGCACAGCCTGTGATTGACAACTCTGTTCCTGTGTGCTCTGAGAAAGGGGAGAGGGTGTCCCTTCCTGCCAATCAGCTCTCAGAGCTCTCCTTACTGAATGTAATTTCAGTTCCGTGCCCCCTGCTTTTTCATAGCTGAGAGGTCCTGTCCAAATTCTGCATTTTCCATGATGTAGATGAAATGGTGGCAGATAAACAGGTACAACTTATGCAGGAGGATTTGTTTTGTTTCTTCTCTTTGTATCAGCTAAAGGCCAGCCAATTCACTGGGTATATGTAAGGATTTACAACCACTTTAAGTGAAATCTATTTGGTGAATAGTGTAAGTGAATGCTGTGCCTTTGGCTTTGATGACTGCTGCTGAAATGCATTTCAGCTTTAGCAGCCATTGTTTTGAGAAGTGTTAAGTTTTTGCACCATATTTGGTTATTATGTTGTGGACCATAGAATCTGAACAGTGTTACTATAGTCCAATTAAGGCAGAAAAGGTTCTAGCAGATCTAGAGTCATATCTGAAAAGGACATTGCCAGGGGGTTAGAAATAGGGGGATTAGGCCAACAGTCAAACAAGTCAGACAGATGTATGGTCTTTGGTCACGTAGACACGTAGCGTGCAGGGTAGACATGTAGGAGAGGTGAGAAGGGTCAAACAAACATGCAGGTGGCTTCAAGCCAAAGGACAGTACTAGGGGATGAACAAGCTAGGTATCAGGACAGGGATAAAAGACAGGAGACAGAGTTGTGTCAAAACCAAAGTTTGTACAGGCAGAGGGCACTATGGCTGAAGTTTGCAGCAGAAGATCACCTGAAGACACTAAAGAATTGAAAACAATAGCCAAATAAAACAATGATGTTGGTATCTAGACTGAAGAGTGGAAAATGTAGAAGACAGTAGAGCCAGTCACTGAGCAGGTATATGTTTGCCTTTAAGCATGTACTGTACCTCTTCATGGCACACTTGAGCTGTGAGCACATGGACAGAAACAACCTGAAGTGTGGGTGGAGGGCAAGGGAGTAGGTACAGTGGTGAGGAAGGCTTTGGGGGCTTGGGTAGGGTGCAGTAGATCAGACATTGGTGACGTAGCAGATGATGAACCCACAGTCATCCACTCCATGGAGGGCTTCACTACAGCTAGGAAACCTGTCTTTGAGCAATGGTCTGCAGAGGTGGGCAACAGAAAAGTTGAAGTTTCAAGAAAGTACAAAAGACACCCACGTTGAGACAACAAAACACAGAAACAATTACCTTGAGTGTGTGTGGCTCGCATAACCAACATAAATGTGGCAATGAATGCTACCCCTCAGACAGAGGCCAACCTAGCCTTGGAACCCCCCCCCCCCCATCACCAGAGAATTCACAACAGTATAGAACCAGTAGAGACAGCTTACATGCAAGCTGTGAAGCTGTCTTGGAGCCATTTGAACCATACTTTGGTGAACTTTTTAGGATAACCTCTGTGAGAATATGTACCCTTGTAAAGGGGAGAGCCGTGTTGACCAGTTGTTACCAAAACATTACAGTTGGGGGAGTGTGCTTTTTCCAGATAAGGGTAATAGCCTTTCTGGCATAAAACAGGAGAAGCCCAAGTAATGTCCACTTAGCTATTGTAGGGGCAAAATTTTCAACTAGTCCCAATAAACAGAGGCATGGAGAGGGAGAAAATGTAATTCCAGATATGAAGTTAATGATGCTGACAACAGATTCCCAGTACTGGGCAATAGTAGGGTTAGGAACAAATATTAATGAAGTCCCCCAACATGTGGGGGCATCTCTAGCATTTCAGAGAGGAGTTAGGATCCATTTTGTGCACTCTATATGAGGTGAAATAGGCTCTATGAACTATTTTAAATTGAATAAGTCTGTCCCTGAGGGAGACAAGCTGTTTAAAAGGGCACACCAAGATATCTGACCAATCGTCCCCATCTAGATCTGATATGTCTGCTAGCCATCTATTCCAGGGAGAACTTAAAGAGAAGGATAACCTTCTTTAATATCGACATTTTCACTATTAATTTATGCCACTCCACATCTGGCATCATTTTAATGGAGGGAAATTTAAGAAGGAACTCTTTTCGGAGTTGGTATAGTAATTTTTTTTATGTCCACATTACATCAGATTTCACCATTCTGTCTACTTTTCAGTAATGTTTTAGATTTCAACAGCTTTCTATGTGAAATTGGCAAACTAGGGAAAACAGGTTGCTGAGATTATATAAATAGGCCCCTAAGCGTTGTTCTTAACATTTCAGAGCTCAGAGTAAATGACAGAATATTTATTTGTTGGTGTATTACATTTTAAAATACTTCCACAACATGCCTTGATGCCTGGTTTTGCTTGTCTTTGTGCAGTGGCAATTACTTACAACGCTACATTAGATGCCGATCTCTTGTCTTCAAGAGTGACATCTAGAGGGCAATTTAAGGAGACCGGTGACAGAGCTATAATGAGAAATGTTGATATTAGCACAGAAGAAAAATGTTTTGAACACATTTTTAATGTTCAGGTAGGTTCAAAATGATCAGTTGTATGCTCATTGGGAAAGGATTTTCTTTCTATTGTTTCTTGTTTTGCCACATGGTGCTACTTAAAGTGTTACTAAACCCAGGACCCTGCATCCACTATATCTGGTCTGCCACAGTACACAGAACATGGAAATGCAATTATTTTAGTAAATATAAACTACTAAATACCTTTTCTCATCAGCAGCTGGAGCAGTATTGTGACTTATATCTATGTCCAGCCCACCACTAGCTAAAGCTTGTAGGAGGAGCTTTCTTTCTGCTCTAGGAGGATGAAAATCCCCTGACCTCTGTCTGGACAGTGCTGATTGGCCCTGTGCTGATCGCTAGCAAGAAAAAAAATATCTCTAGCAATACAAACCAAACTGAGCATGTGCATGCCTACGGTTCAGTCTGGAGATAAGAGGTGATTGATTGAAAAAGGGGAGAAACAGAGAAGACAGGATCAAAGGGCCTTTACACAATGTAGAGGATTAACCCCTTAGGTTCCACAGTGAGTATAACAAGCATGCTTTACTGCATAAATAGACTGATTTTACTGTTGTGGGTTTAGTATGAGTTTTTAGAACATTTCATGTACTATTTTACCTAGACTATCTACCCTTGTTGTACTTAGTACATATTAAGGTTCCAAAGAAGATTATGGTGCAATATAAGTCAATAATAATAGTGTAGAATCACTGACTTATGTGATCACAAAAAAACTCACAATATCCCTCTAGATACCTCACTGAGTGCTGGCTGTTAGCCAGTAGTTTAGAAGTAAGGGAAATCTGTAAGTCCCAAATGACCGTATTTCAACCCTCCATTCCTATCTCTAAATATATGGAATAATCACTGGGTCTTTGGTGCCAAAGTAACATCATAGCAGATGCAGTGAGATGACATAATAAAGCTGACTTCTACAACATCTCATCCCCACTGGGTACCTCCAGATAACTTTACCATGTATAGGAGCACTTCTGGGTGACTCCATTGAAAGGGATGATAAGAGGTTTCTGCATGAACAGGAATAGCATGCAGAGCTTCCAGGTCATCATGACCAGTGTGCTGCAGATTGGACCTGATCAGATTCATGGGCCCAACAAGTGGTGCACATGGTGCATCTCCAAGTCCACAGTAGTACTACCATTGTGTATATGATGGATAATAAATCCGCTGCTGTAGTTCAAGAAGGATGTCAGTAATAAATAGGATGTTCTAAGGCTATATGAAGCTGTAAACTGTAGGACATAGCAACAAAAACAAAAAGTGCTTCAAACCATTCCCTAACCCCCCCCCCCCCCCATACACAATTGTAGATCTCCATCCAATTGCGCATCTGTGGGATGTGGTAGAAAATCCAGTCCAATCCATGGAGGTCCCACCTCGTAATTTACAGGACTTAAAGGATCTACCAACTGCTTGGTACCAGATTCCACAGCCACAGCATATCTTCAGAGGTGTGTATGTGTGTGTGTGTGTGTGTATATATATATATATATATATATATATATATATATATATATTATATTATATTGCCAAAAGTATTTGGCCAGTCCTCCAAATCATTGGATTCAGGTGTTCCAATCACCTCCATGGCCACAGGTGTATAAAATCAAGCCCATAGGCATGCAGACTGCTTCTACAAACATTTATGAAAGAATGAGTTGCTCTCAGGAGCTCAGTGAATTCAAGCGTGGTACCGTGATAGGGTTCCACCTGTGCAATAAGCTCATCCATGAAATTTCCTTTCTACTAAATATTCCACAGTCAACTGTTAGTGGTATTATAACAAAGTGGAAGCAACTGGGAACAACAGCAACTCAGTTACGAAGTGGTAGGCCACGTAAAATGACAGAGTGGGGTCAGCGAATGCTGAAGTGCACAGTGCAAAATAATTGCCAACTGTCTGCATAGTCAATAGCTAAAGACCTCCAAACTTTGTGTGGCCTTCAGATTAGCACAACAACAGTGCATAGAGAGCTTCATGGAATGGGTTTCCATGGCCGAGCAGCTGCATCCAAGCCTTACATCACCAAGCGCAATGCAAAGTGTCGGATGAAGTGGTGAAAAGCATGCTGCCACTGGACTCTAAAGCAGTGGAGACGTTTTCTCTGGAGTGACAAATCATGCTTTTCTGTCTGGCAATCCAATGGATGTGTCAGGGTTTGGCAGTTGCCAGAAGAACAGTACTTGCCTGACTGCATTGTGCCAAATGTAAAGTTTGATGGAGGGGGGATTATGGTGTGGGGTTGTTTTTCAGGGGTTGCGCTTGGCCCCTCAGTTCTAGTGAAGGGAACTCTTAAGGCGTCAGCATATGAAGACATATTGGACAATTTCGTGCTCCCAACATTGTGAGAACAGTTTGGGGATGGCCCCTACCTGTCCCAATATGACTGTGCACCAGCACACAAAGCAAGGTCCATAAAGACATGGATGAACGAGTTTGGGGTGGAGGAACTTGATTGTCCTGACCTCAACCCGATAGAACAGCTTTGGGATGACTTTGAGCGGAGACTGCAAGCCAGGTCTTCTCATCTGACATCAGTGCCTGACCTCAAAAATGCACTTCTGTAAGAATGGTCAAACCTTCCCATAGACACACTCCTAAACCTTGTGGACAGCCTTCCCGGAAGAGTTGAAGCTGTTATAGCTGCACAGGGTGGGCCAACTCAATATTGAACCCTATGGACTAAGATTGGGATGCAATTAAAGTTCATGTGTGTGTAAAGGCAGGAGCCCCACTACTTTTGGCAATATAGTATAGTATATATATATATATATATATATATATATATGGGATAGAGAGGGAAATGAGAGAGAAAATTCTAGCACTATGAGATGCCTATTTGGATTTGGGGACTTGCTATTTTACTACATTAAACAGACCAAAACCCACAGAATTGCACTCATATGATTTCCTGTTTACACAATGAAAAAAAGATTGTTCCCAGATTTGGCCTATCTGATCTGTTAGAGTGACACATGGATGTGGTAAAGTATATCAGCTCAGTCTAGCCTATTTATAAGTGACTTAATTAACTTGCGTATCTGCATTTGGAAAATACAATGTCCCAGGCAGTGGTGGACGTGTTTCTATTTCTGATCTCTGTGTCATGTTGAAGCGCCCAGCCAATCAGACTCCTTCTGGCTCAATTACTGTGCGTATACTGTTCACCATAATTGGCTGCTGTCATTTTACATCTAGCAGACTAGGATCATACATTCTATTAGAGCAGTAATTAAAACAGAACCATTTCACTGATAGCAGGGAAAATCCCTCTGTTATCAATTACAACACATGCCTAGAAAATTAAATCCTCAATGAAAATGAAATTCCTGTGTACTGAAGCACACATTCGGGTTTATACATAATTATAGGTGCAGAGAGAGTAATTGCATTGATTTTAATTTGACCCAGTCAACCATGCACACATACACACACTGGATTAAAGCACCGTGTCTCTTTAAATGGCACCCCTGAGCAGGTCAAACATGAGTTTAAAGTGGAAAAAAAATAAATGATAAATTTAGAGCTAAAACACCTCAATACATAGATACACTTTAGACACACTTCTTATCACCATGTTTCTGTTCAGCACATGAACACTACAGCACAACTGATTGGCATCTTGTGTCCTGCTACTCCCTCTCCAAGTCTGATCTCAGTTGTACTGCTGATTACAAGAGGCTGATACCATGTAGCTGAATGGGCAGCATTCCGCAAACACGACAGTGAGGATAATTTTTGCTGTGGCTTATGTACACTCCTCAGTGTACATATTCGTCAGCACACCAAGGATCATCAAATGTTGTCCAAAACTTTTATTGCAGGAAGATCACATCACATGCCTGACCAAGGGATCCTGAGCGTCTCGAAATGTTATACTTGATCCTTTGTGATGTGATCTTCCTGCAATAAAAGTTTTTTTGGCCGACATTTCATGATCCATGGTGTGCTTGCGAATATATGCATTGATCTGTGATGAGTCCAGTTTCCAGCTGGTGATCTCTGCAGCTCCCATTACTAATGAGCCCATATCCAGGAACGAGGGTGATGGGAATAATGACATTATATGTACACTCCTGTCCCCTGCAAGCAAGGTGTACATAATAAAATGGCGAGTGTGTATATGTATGTATGTATATATATATATATATAGTAACAGAATTATATATACATTACAAGTTTATATTTATGAAATGACTATTTTGCATTTGTATTTATGTTACCAGGAAACATCAGACTCAGAAAATGCACTGTCGGTACGCATCAATATTGCAGCTCAAAAACCAAACAGCAGCCCGGTTTTAAACCCTTATTTATCTGGTTCAAGTGAATGGTTTGTAAGTATGTTGTCATTAGAGTAATATTTCTGCCTGTCCTTTGTACAGCCAGTGAATGAGCTAACACAATACAGTCATGTGAAGCAGGTAAAGGTCATGAATCACCATGAATTATGAATGTTGAATGTAGCAACTGTGTCTTCTCACTTAGCGATCTTGACATGCAGGACAAGTGGCTTGTGATATGAAATAAACTGTGTGGGCGCTGCACCTATATTTTGCCTAGTCCCACCTTTCTGAGGGGCTAATGTGACATAAAGGTAACAGTCATTTTAATTTTTCTCGGTTTATATTTTTTGTACTTCCAGAGTCTAAAAATATTTGTCAATAGGAACATTAAGAAAGAAAATATTTTTGTAAAGTTTTCTTAAACATTTTTTTAATTTTCATTTTGAATAAGTTTTTTTTTGTTTAATTAGGGAGATTTCCTTTCAATTCCTGTCCTGTAGGCTCAACAGGAAGTAAGAAGGTATCTTTCCAATGTGATGGAAATCCCATCTGAATTGGAAGATTTCACCTTTATTCTTGTTCTGGTGGCAACTCAAACTTTTGGATTTACCTTTATTCCTGATGACATCGGTGATCAAGACAATCAGAGAGTGAATCTCCCTAACAGTACACAGGCAACAATAAAAAAAGCCTCACAACTCTATCCAATCTTAAAAAAATTGCCTTTAGTTATACTTTAAATTTGAGATTTTAGTTTCACAACTGTGTGTTAAGACTCATCCATGTACAGTATGTAGATGGCCCCTAGCTTCTCCTCATGGACACATCTCATAGTTAGTGCCCCACAGGATTTTAGGGCCATCCCCTCTGAGTTGTAACCACCCCAAGGCCATTCAGACCTATCTGTCTGCCAAACGTGCATGGGAGGTGCTTTTGAGGTTCTTCCACTCCATGCTCCTGATCCAAGTTCATAGCAACCCTCTTATGCCTAGAGCACATCCCACACAGGGCCTTGTATTATGCTTATGGTTCAGGTTATGAATCCATAAGTTCAGTCAAACATCTGTAGCCCAAGAGACATGGGGGCTAAGGTTACCTGGTGCATGTTCCATTGGGGAAGATCCTCTCTAACCATCAGGAAGGTGACTCCTTTTCCTAACCACTACCAGCACCTATGCCAAGCTTCACTCTATCCCCTGAAACTGGCTGTGCTCTTTGGTCTACACATTTAGGTTCTCACATTACTTTTGATTTTCAAATCACACGTGGAGGCTGGTTGTTGCATTTATTTTCTTTACTCAAAGCAAGTGAAAACAGTCCACAAGAGTGGGATCAGTAACGTTCCACAAGTAAGGCAAAGAACAATATAGCAGTCCATGAATATGGTCAGCGATCCCATTAAAGGACAATTCTTGGCTGTGTCCTGCAAAGTGGATGGAGAGGGCATTGTGGTCCTTGCAATTATTGTGTCATTTCCTCTGCTTGCTTTTTAATTTACATTTCATGGTCACAGTCCTTAGCTTCTACCTACAGAGCAAGTTGTACTGTAAGTAGTAACCCTTACCTACATCTAGTCCAAGGCTTACTGTTTATCTATGCCAATAGCTAAGCTAGCAGAATAGAGTCCACTGTGGAGAGTTGTAAACTATGTTAAAGCAGACACTGCTGAGTGAAACACGCATCTCTGTCCATAATGTTAACCCTTTTTAGGCCTTATGCACACCAAATGTTTATTTAACTCTCCTAAAATCTATCAGCATTTTTGTAGAAAACATTTCTAAAGCTTTTACAACCTTTTACAAATGTCAGGCTCTTGGGCTTTAATTAATTTTATTGGCCAGAATAAATAATTTATTATTAATGAATGCTCAAGCATCAGACCCGGACTGGGACAAAAAATAGGCCCGGGCACTTTGGACTGAGAAGCCCAAAGCCCGGGACCTTTTCCTTGGAGCCCAGAAGCGGAACGCCAGGGCCCGGTCACAAGAGCAACCTTTGTGACTCTGGTAGTTCCGCCACTAGCGTCAGTAAGTTTTTATTTTTATTTAATCTTTTACAATTTTATTTTTTATTTCCTACATTTTTTTGTAGGAGAGAAATAAAGGATGGAAAGAAAGAAAGAAAGGAAGGAGGGAAAGGAAGGAATGAAGAAAGTTAGAGGAAGGAAGGAGAAAGAAAGAGAGCTGACCGCATGCAGGAGATGGATAGGAGGGGCGGCACAGGAACCGAGAAATGCACGGTCCTCTATGTGCTGCCTGGCCTCCTCTCCTATATATCTCCTATATATACTTATGGCGGTGCCCTATGGCCAGTCTGGGCCGTGTCAAGCATTAATCATGCTTAGCTTTTGGGTGTGTTTAGCAGCTTTTAGTAGCATCAAACATTTTCTTTCTGCCCTAGACGCACTGACCCTGGTTTTTTTCCTGCCTCTAAAAGCTTTTAAAAGTCAATAGGTGCATGAACGTATAGGATAACATGGAGGGGCGTTTGGAAGCAGGAAAAAAAAATGCCCGACACCAAGAGTGGCTGAAAAAATGCCCTGTGTGCATGAGGCCTTAATCTCCTGGGAGCATTTTAGTACACTGCTCAAAAAAATTAAAGGAACACTTTTTAATCAAAATATAGCATCAAGTCAGTTAAACTCCTGGGATATTGATCTGGACAATTAAGTAGCAGAGGGGGCTGTTAATCAGTTTCAGCTGCTGTGGTGTTAATGAAATTCGCAACAG